AGATGTTAAACGTAATTTAATGTAATACTGCTATATTCCAGTGATATACAGTATAGATTCCCTGCCTTGAGTATGATCCGTGATTTGTTGTACAATAATCCCAACAAGTCAAGACAAGTGCTGGCAAAGAAAAGACTATATACGCCAGTACAGGAAAGAATTGTAAATCTAAAAGAACTATGTTGAACGAATAATTAATATAATACTATATAATAATAGTGTAATAATAATAATAATTCCAAATTTCGATTCTGGCCTGGTCAAAATTAATATTCAACTTTTGGCCCATCAGATTCTGAATTTAGCCAGCCAGAGTTAGACTTCCAGTTTTGGCCGTTTAGATTCTAAGTTTGGCCGGTCAAAAGCAGAATTCCAGCTTTGGCCGGTCAGAGTTAGAATTCCAGTTTTGGCCGGCCAAATTCGGAATCTGGCCGAATTCTAAGTTTGGCCACAACATATACACCACTTTTATATTACTTTAGTTTCAGATAGTTTTCTTTATCATTTTTGTTAACGTCTGTGTATTGTATATCTCGTTGATCTATACTTTAACGAATACATTTTATTTACACAACTTCGCATTTAACTTAGGTAAGTGAAGTAGAGATTTGGTGACCTGCTCAGACCCTTTTGCAGACGAGGATCAAGTTCTAGGGTGATACTTTCCAGCTGCTAGTGGTAGTAGGAGCCTTATTAGCCCTCTGAATTGAGTAGCTATCACAATGCAGGTTTTTTGAATTTTACCATTATCTAAAAATTCACCCTTCTTAAACTTCAAACATGTATTGTCTAATAGAAGGAGCTTCTTGCATCCCAGCGGTTGCTGACACTTTCTACCTGAACGTCCTTAAAGGATAACTCCGTGGCGCGTGCTCTGATTGGAAATCCGAAAATTTTGCTCCTAGATGAAGCAACGTCAGCGTTAGACACGAATTCAGAAAAAATTGTGCAAGAGGCCTTAGATAATACATGCAAAGGTATTGATTAAGAAAGTTTCTCAACGAAGATTCGCTTATATTCATTTAAAGTGTTCCTCGAAAAGTATACTCGAACGAGCTCCGTTTCCTGTGTTTTTGTTTTTTCTCGTTTAAACGGTACCACAACGATTGTTATTGCTCATCGTTTATCCACAATTAGAATGCAAATAAGATTTATATTATTCAGAATGGTGCGGTTGTAGAGATGGGGAATCACGAAACATTAATGAACAATAGACAGTATTACTATGAAACGTTGCGGTCACAACAATCGATAAATATTTTAGAAAAAGTAGAAGAAAACAAAATATATGATAACACACAAGGTTTGTTTTGCTTTTAATGGTATATTTATCATTATTAGATATGGATTTCAGAGAAAAGAAGACTTTCGAGTGTGGAATCTGACACGCAAGATCAACACAGTAACGACAAAGACGATAACTGTATAACTGTACAGCATGCATTCTAAACCGCACATTTTTTGAATACGGTACTGTATAAATATAATGTATATCACATGATGTATCATAATAACAACATATATTCCAAATGAGTGACCAAAAATGTGCTTGAAATGTTGATATAATAGAATTCATCGTAATGTGTCTATTTAACTTGATCTTATCTCGAAATGTAGTTTTTCTCGACAAGCTAAAAGCATACAGAAAACCTTGCCAGAGTAGCCTCGAGACTGAAATGTGCAACATCTCCGGAGCGCATAAATCTTACTTATAATATGCTGAAGGTATTCTACGATGCCCATCAATTCTTCATAAATACTCTCTTTATTGCTGTAAGGATGTAGCAGCATCAAGAACGTCAGTTCGTCGGTCATAAGAGAGTACTGGAACCATGTTTTTGACAGATTATCATCCTTTCTTCTCCTGATCGCTTACGTTGGAGAATTAGATGCTTGTTCCACGGTCAACCGAATTGAATGAAACTTCGATACTACATGCATAATTTTTCGGTAATCCGATTGCGGGTTCCTTTCAAGTTCATTTTGACTCCTCTGGCGTTGAATCGAAAATCATACAAATTGTATCAAGCCCAGAGAAGCAGTCAAAATGAATTTGAGAGTAACCCGCTATCGAATTCACCGAGAAATTCTGCATGTAGCATCTTAACTTCGTTCAATTCTGTTCAGCGTCTCGGGAGCAAAATCTTGAAAATTTTCTCAAGTTCCCCCCGCCCCCCAGCTCTTTCAAGAACTTGTACAGATTTATCGAAATCGTTTAAGATTCTGAAATGATTAATTTAATACGCAATAATCAGAATCTTCATTAACAGATTTGGGAATACGAAAGAAAATCTTAAACTTTATTTTCTACTTCATATTTTCATTTTTTTCTACTGTATCACTACGGTGAAAGATCTGCAGTACTCTGTAAATAGTACCAGAGCTGCTGAAAGTGCATGAGCAACCACACATTCAAAGGCAATGTTTGAATTTCACTTTACAAGTTTTCAGTGTTCTGTAGTGCAAGTATTTATCCTTATATATGCAAGAACAATGTCAAACAAAATGGTGATTGAAAGAATAACGTATTTATTTGTCTAACCTATCGATCAACAGAATTTCAGCAGAGATCTTCTGCATTGTAGTGCTACAATAACTATAAATAAATGCAAAGTTGGCATATTTACATTTTTGTCGAGTCATATCGAAATCAAGCTGATTGCTAATTTTCTTCTCTAAAACCGACTTTTTCGCGAGAAGATTGACCGTCGCTAATCTGTATTACCCATTATTCAAAGCTGAAAAAACTCTGCTCTCAGTTTTTGATCTAATGTTCACATGGTTCCCTATCCTTTGAAGTTCATAAGCGCGGATTCAACACTTACTTGTGGGACGCACCTTTTGTTTTTGGATAGTACGTTTCAAAGCTCTACCGGTAACCCAGAAAAAGTGCCCTATATTGATGCATACAATGTTCAAGACAAAGTTAAATATCAATAAGAATAAAAACGTTTAGACTATATAGAAAAAGTAGAAACACATGAGGCAATACACGAAATCACAAAACAACACCCATAAAATGGTAAAAGATCAACGATTTTAAGTTCTTGTATTAACCAAAAAAGGTTTTTGAAGCCTGTCTACGAACTTTTTGCCATTATAACTGGATACTCTTTGATTCCTTCGATGGCTTCTTGCCACTCGGGACGATATTTACAAAACAGTTCAATCCCAGGTTTTGGTAGTTGATCAATAAATAGACCTAGACGAATGATCATCATACCAGCTAGATTTGGTGTTTTTCCGTAGATCGGTGAACCACAATTAGGACAGAAACCGCGCTGAATTCGATTTCCACTGTAAGTATTCTGGTCATCGTAGACTTTTGGTTCACCTTGAATTTGTGCATCAGTTTCACCGACGATGACGTTGTATGAGAGAAGTGCACCACTCGTTTTCCTACAATTTTTACATCGACAGATGATGACGTTCTCAGTTTTACTGAGTTTGTTTTGTGAGACGGTGACCGTGATTTGACCACAGAGACAGTGTCCTCTACTGATTCCGGAGGAACTCATGGTTTCGTTTTAGTTAGAATGCGAAGAGTAGTTATGAGCGTGTATATTTTTTATATAAATTTAAAAAGAAGAAATGAGTGTGTAGAAAGCAGGAAAGCGTAGTAAATGACAGAACCAGACGGCATCTGATTGTGTTATAACTGATGAATTGGAAAAATTTGCTTTGTCATCACAGCTGGTGATTTAAAGGTTATTCTTGTCCGTATTACAAAACAATAATGAGTTTCTTGAATGCATATAGCTGACTGAATGGGAAAATGTTCTTACTACTACTCGCGATCACTTTACTAAAAATTTCAAATTGTCTACTCAGTCCTTATGAAGTACTCATCTCCTCTTGGAGAAATTCGGCCTTTAGATACCTTCAAAAGGAAATATCTCCGTTATCACAGGATTGATATAGAGGGTTTCACGTAAAAGCGCTCGAATCTAACTTTTTACAAATTCACCAGAGAAGATACTGTATCTAGAACCTATTAAGAAACCAAATTTTCTGAAATGGTTTTCCTTTATAAAAGCGCTCCGCTTTTTTTACCTGGTCTGATACATTTGGTTTTCCTACGTGACAGTCCAAAAACATTTTGCTCTGCTGTTTGACAGAGATTTTGAAGAGTTTTACTCAGTCTTGACTCTTAAGAAATTTTTTGGACTACACAAGAATTGAGCCAAATAAACTGGCGATTACGCACTATTCAAAAATAATCTCTACATGTAAACCATTGGGCAATAGGTATGAAAACATTTGCATATTTTGATTCTATGTTAAGTTAAAATACTTCTTCGATGGGACCTCGGCATTTGGTTACTCATTAGACTTTATTGAAAAGCACACAAAATTTTTGGCTTGTTTCGTTGCAGTAGAGATAGTCTAAATTAAATACTAACGAGGGAACCTTCTGCGGTGATACGCTCCGATTTCCTTCGTTCATATGCCATTTGATAGAGTATTCCGTGGTAGTGGAAAGCACAAAAGGGTTCGTGCCCCCATGCAGTTTTTCAAGC